CTCATATCATTGGATGTTTATCAAGAACTTTCGTCCAATGACACGCATGTATTTCCCTAAAAATTATCGGATACGGTAGCACTAATTATTCCTTATTTATCAAGTAAGAGTATAGCTCACACGGGTAGAGCATTGGGGTTACAACCCAAAGGTTGCGGGTTCAAATCCCGCACAGGGTATTAGTTTGGGGAATAATGGGGGACAATAGAATGAGCACCGCTAGAACTGCGAAAGCGACCATGGTGTAAATATTCTGTTGTGCAACGTTACTTCGCATTCTGGGATGGGTACCTTCGGGAAGCCATAATTCCGGTGGATGAAATGTCACACTGTCCAACAGTTGAAGCACTCACCACCCAAGTCCCAGGGAGAAGTAACAGCACAGCAGCTCATTCTTTTTTACTTTGTGACAAGCGATAGTAGTACTAGTAGTACTACTGTCGCTTGTCACAAAGTAGTACTAGTGGTACTACTTCAAAATTGTGACAATCCACAGTAACATGCGGCGACTATAACATAATGACAACATGATGATAGCATGATGACAGCATGATTGCTGTATCACTGACGTTATATTTTTCCCAAGGGATCGATCCCAATTTGTCCGCAAGCTGGAAATGGATGGGTCACATGTTTTCTATTTCCGTCCTAACTGTTCAGGAATTTTGGTGTGGATTAGGCATTTTTTGTGTGGCACCCAGATCATATCGTCGACGAGACGTAGAGGCCACGCCTGGCCAGACGCCAGCACCACCAGGTGGACGGCGTCCAGGCTCTTGGTCATTCTCGACAAGACGTCGTCAGGGGCGACCACCTGGGCTTCGGCGATGGACACAAATGTTGGCCAAACAAACGTTTCGTCCCGCAACGGCGAGATCAGCAGTGGCTGCTGGCTGATGACACAGATGCTGGGTGGAGCCATACGTCTTGGGGTGGATATTTGTCCGATGCTTGCTGAAAGTAAGTGTGGATTACTTTAGCAACGGAAAATGCGCTAAGCTGTTGACCGTAACACTGTGACCGAAGTATGTTGTGTGCGGGCGGCAAATCAGGGGAATATGCGTGCAAAGGAAACTCTGGCGGACCGTTAACGGTGGAATCGAACGGGTCTGTCAAGTTGGTGGGTGTGATCAGCTGGGGCATCAAATGTGCCCAGAACATGCCTGGCATATACAGCCGCATCTCGATCCCCCGCGACTACCACCAAGCAGACTGCCGGCCCAGTCTCCCCGTTCAAAGTGCCTCACGTGGTCCCCTAATAACTTCTTCCAAGGGCCCCACTGTCGGCCCAACGACTACCTTGCCGTCCAAGTTTAGTGGCTGCTCTACGTGCTTCCCCTCTGCGTACTCCAAGTCGACGTGTGACTCGTACGCAAGCTTGGGAGCGTTCTGGTATGGCAACTAGTTTTATTAAGGTTACAGTGAGAGCGTTTTAATGTTAATGGATTGGATTGCTTGCGTAATTGCGTCGACCCCTTCTATTGAGGATGACATGAACGTACAGTAGTGTTTCATTCCGTAATAATACCCCCAACCACAATACGTGAATTGAAGTTTATCTTCCTAATGTGTCCATCTTTGGGCTGCCTATGGTCATGGGAGGACCCTACACTCCTACCGGTAGATTGCTGTACAAACTGCGAAAATTCAAAGTTACAATATCGGGAAACTGAGAAACAGCGATCAGAAAATCTGGATACCGTTCAGACGAGACTGAGGACCGTTCAAGAAAATTTTCTTCCCGTAACCCCGGGACTTCGACTTACCCCCGCGTGTACATACCTGGTATTTGTTACCTCGAAGTATAATGCTAAATTCCCGGAGTTAAGCACGCAGAATGTACTGAACTTCATGTACATAGTAAAAGTTGGGGTGGTCAGAGTCCAAAACATATGCCTCATCTAACTTATCGTAGGGTATATTAGTTTGAACGGTTCTCAGTCTTCGAAGGAGAAGGATGATGCTTGGAGTACGACCCCTCAAGGGACCGAATCTATGACACCAGAGGACCCACCATGTGTAGATCAGACACAGTCAAGGCGAAACCCTCGTCGTGAACCAATAAGGGAAGGTTGTAGAACGTGCAAGCAACCCCAATTCCAATGAAGACGACATCAGAACATGTCTCGCGCTCTAGGCTTGAAACGGAGGCACCAAAGACCAAGCGACAAGGAGCGGTAGACTGGACAAAGAATACGAAAGTAGATAGAATCTATGAATAAACATTGCTCGGAAGTACCCCAGTCCAAGCTGCCTGAAGAGTTCGGCGAAGACTCGCGAAAAACTCGACAATATCCACCCGCAAATCGCCCTCAACCAGCACTGCCATTCCCAAAAATACCTGGTAACCCACAAGTGGGACGCGGCGCCCCGAGCACAACTACAAGATACAACAACAACCATGTTCACGCTTCCGCCGGACCTCGGCAAGCAGCAGCCAACATCTCCAACACTGTCCGGAACCACGGCCATGCCAACCCCTATGGCTACCGTCATTGTCCACCGCAATGGCATTCATTCCCACCGCCATACTGGTGCCGGCTACAGGCATCATTCGTCAACCTCACCCATCCTCGTCCGAGAACAACTCTGCCTCCGACACCACCGAGAGCCTAGTTGAACCGCCACTCACTGCGCATCAACTCCGGTCGAAGCGTGCCGCGGACACGTTCCTCGCTCTCCACGAACGCAACAGGACCAAACGGGCCGCTAATCGGCCGTGCCGAACATATACTTGATCCACCCGACCATGGCACAACCAACCCCACCCCAGATGTCACACAGCTCCCACATCCAGCCGCTCCTCTCTCTGATGACGACCGGCCCATCCGCCCCAGGTCGACACGCACCACACATACCGTCAGCCACCCGCGCAAAGCTACACCACTCCAGTCAAGTCCAACTACGCCATCTGCACCGGTTCATACTCCCCCAACCCTTCAAACCGACTAAAGGCTCCTCCACACAGAGGTCCCTTCCGGGCATATGGCGTCAATCCCAGCACAACGCACTGGCGCCTCATTGTATCAGCCTCCCCGTATCCACTGCACCCATCCCTGCACCCATAACTACCCACCCTGGGACCCCTCAAACAACTATACCTGCCATCCCACTGCATGGGACACACCACTCTCATCCAACATCGTCTGCAGCCACTGCTTCCGCCACTGCTTCCGCCACTACTTCCACCTACACGCAAGCCAATCCTCACGCAGCCTACGCACAGACACACGAGTCCACTGCCCACTCACACAAGGGTCCCACTGCGACAAGTCCTATCCCCACTACTGTACAGCCCACACCCCACACCTTCTGCACCACCCCGGAACCCCCCTGCGTCACGCTCTGGACCAACACGTACCCACACCAACTACTTAAGCCCCAGTCAAGACACATCACCCGGCTCCGTTTTCCCCACCCACCTGGATATCACACCCCATACTCCCTTCCTATCACTGCCACCCCATCCCCCCCTTGGGCAGAAAAGCCCGATCCAACCAACTAATTCATGCCCACTGGGCACTCAATACTGGCCCCCAAAATGCAGAATCCTAAGACCACCCTCACCGCGCAGCATCCATCAAACTAACGACGATATGCCAACCTCACCGGCTCTAACACCACCTGGACAGACCCAAACCCACACCCCACACTGGCTCTCATCTCGACCCACCACGGCCACCTCCAGACAAACGTCACCACTGAGACATCGAATCAGACCTTGACATTTCAAACCCCTCTTTCCACCTCCCGCCGACAAAGCGACACCACGATATGCGTTATCCGCCCACCTCACAATACCAACCGAGCCCCTATGAACCAGCACAGACTGAGTAGAGAGAAGCCAGTCCGACTATCGGCTAAGATAACCTGGAGGAATATGACGCCACCACAGCCCTTCAACTTCCGGGTATCTGCAATTTAGACGACGATGGCCAGCCGATCATGTACCACAGCGTTACTGGGACCGTGAGACACACCACTTCGAAGGCTTTATCGCTGACGATATTGCCGATGTGAAGCGTCACTTCGCCGATGCCAAAGTCCGTATCCAGTTCTCCATCAACCCGTCGCTCCAGCCTCCGGACGAACAACTCAGCATACTCAACTACCGGCGACAGATCGAGGTCATATGTCAGGAACGCTTCGGAATTACCTTCCGCGGCGGCCTCCTGGAACACGGTCTTCAGCTCCTCACAGACCCCCTTCAACGCAACATCCAGGCCTGGGCAGCACCACGACGTGGTTATCTCTTCCTCCGAGACATCTATGTGGTTGGACTACCATTACGCTGGTGTGCTCGACAACGGGCTCTCCTTCCACCAACTCAAATACCGCAATCCATCCAAAATCACACCTGGAGACCTCAAGAGCTCCCCCCCGCAACACCGCCGCCGACGCACCTGGCGGATCCAGGGTTTTCCTCCCCCCCCACCTGACGCCTACACGGTTAGACACCAATTTAATAACATCCTCCGGTGTGAAGCTTTCAAGGGCGAAGCCTACATTGGAGGCCCAGATAAGCCACTTCCACCGCACTGCCTGATAGATAGCCCCCGTATTTTATTGACCCTGTTCATGCTCCAGCACGGACATAGACATAGCCTTCATGCAGTGGACGCAGAGTGTATGTAGGACTACTCGCCACCTTCCACCACCGGCACCTCAACCTACAACGTCACACCTACGCCCGCAACAACACTGCCGTAACCCTTGATGACATCTACATCTCCGGTCACTCCGCTGATAAATTAAGTGCCAGTGGCATATGGCTACATATCATGCATTCCAGTGACCATGCGAGCGCCCCCTTCATGGCCTTCGCCCTCTGCCCAGGCGATCGCACGCCCTCGCGCCACTCAGGTGTCATGCCCATACGAGCCGATAACATACGCTCCCGCACGAAAGGGGACATCTCCACTTTCGGCGCGCACACCTCGCAACTCCTCAACGGCTGCCTTCGCCCCCTATTTACGGTACCCCCCACATGCGGCCACGACGTGGTCCTTACAAGACAACACCGACTAGCTGGAGGGGGCGGTCCAAAACCTTTACGATATCCTATACCAGGGCCAAAATCAAGTGGAGGGAAACCAGCCAAACTCGGAAGGCCCTCAACAGGGCAGTGGCGATACAACGCACCAACGGGTGTACCGTGCAGCTCCGCCACCTGCTCCGTATCCATGAAGCCGTAAATCCAACAGGGGCCGAATACCTTCGACTTGCCCACATGGTGGAATGGCCCAAATAGATCCGCAATCCAAACCTTCTCCCGTCCACGTGATGGCACTGTTCTGTACCAAAGCGATCGGTGATTGGTGGACCGACATGTCCACCGCACGGGACACCATCCAAGACTAGGACCGCTGGCTGCGACAGGGCATCGCACTATGGACAAAATTATGTCACAAACGCCGCGACTGGCGTATCACCTCATCCAACAAACCCGTGTGCAACAACGAGCCGTGTGGTTTCAAGGCCACCGAACCCGGAAATTCCTCCGATCAGTACTCGGAGCACCAGCTCCACTTATTTCCATCCAGAGTGTCCTAACCCGTCCTACAGATACCCTCCCCGCTACAGCTCCGACCGGGAAGCAGTTACAGCTGGACTCCGACAGCTACTAGACAACTGGATCCTCCCTGCGGAAAAAACCACCCACCCTCGGCACTTAGATACCGCCCTGAACTCCGACCACGTACAGTACAAGTCCCACACTTTGACCGTGACTGGCTCCTCCATGATAAGGATCGAGCGAACGTAATCGCTCAGGCCTTCCAAACTCCCACGGGCACCACATGGCACAACTATCACTACAATGAAGCGATGGAAGTACGCTGTGTCCGCAGTCTACGTACGCGAGTATCCTCACGTCATGGGGGTATCTCACAGGAACTCTGGATTGCTGCCCAGGTCCATGATCCTACGCACAGGCCTTGTCCCCCCGATCATTGTACGCAAACAGATGATATACCTCGCCAAATCGGCCAATGCCCACGGTGTGGTGAACCTCGACCCTGGCCTTCCTTCGTGACGCCCCATCACTATTTAGAGTGTCCTCAGTAGCCGGATCTTCACCGTTATACGGGATTACATCTCCTCCTGGATACCCAATGACGAGATGCAACACGGCTTTCTGTGGGATCGCACTGTCCAGGACAATCACAGGCCAATCTGCATTGGGAGGCGTTTTCGGAGCCGGCAAATCCTTCCTCTTCGACCTCTCACCCCACGCTTACCCTGCCGCGTCCTCCGCTTACCACACGGCCATCAAAAGTCATGGTTCTACGACCATACAGATATGGCTTGGGTCTCGTCTATTGTGAACGCTTTAGCCACAGCCAACGGCTCTACCAATTCCTCCGGATTGCCAACGACTGTGGCTCGCCCGCCCACGACCACCTCACGAAATCCCTTGAGGCCTACCAAAATCGAGTGCGGCCTCACTGACCACCGGCTTGCATTCCGCATCCCCCCACCCGTCTAGGACACTACATTTCTAGGTACACTACTACGAGACCTTACTACCTTCAAACCCGCCCTCGCCATCGCCACTCCATGGCACCAACCCCCCGCTAGCTGTCCCCACCGTCCCAATGACCTCCCTATCTGGGCTCACCTCACCCCAGCTCTCGGCACTCCTCATTTCCATCAATCGTTTCCACGACAACAAAGTCCGGTGGGTAGGTGATATCACCAATGTAACTCTATGCTGCTCAGCCTTTCACCCCTACGTACCAAATTTGGCTGGACCCGCGCAACACTCCAACGATTTGTCTCCATCTATGTTCTGGGCACATTATCAGTGGGGATGGCGTCAAGCAGGACCCGGAATGGATCCAGCTCTTATGTGCCATTCCCTACCCTACGAACGCAGGCGACTTGCAACAATTTGTGTGTGCAGTCAACTGGTTGCGGGACTCCATGACCGAGTATGCACAGACGATGGATCCACTCCAGCAGTACTTGACAAAGGCTCTCAAGGGTAAGGGCAAGAAACGCAAAGGGCAAGAAACGCATCGCGTCTGGTGTTCACTTGGAACTAACCGACGGCGAAAAGGAACCGTTCGATACAGTGAAGTCTAAGTTACGGGCGTCGGTTGAGCTATCTCACCCTCGTGATGATGCAACGATATGCCTGTTTACGGACGCCAGCGACTATGGATGGTCAATTCTGGTTACGCAAGTGGTGGAATTTAACGAAGCGACGGCGATCGGATCATGGTGGTCGCCCATTGTGGCAGCATGGGACACCGTGGCCACGCGGCGCTGGTGGCCTCGATCAGGCGCCTATTCTACCTCGACCACCTTGCCGACCGAGTGGCGGAATTCCTCCGAGGATGCTTACTGTGCCCTCATGTGAAAGGGGGAAGGGTGGTCCATATAGACCGTATGCACCCAGATGGCACGCAACGAAGGAATTCAAGTCGACTACCTATACGTGGATGAGGCCTACAGCGGCGCCAAGTCTTGAAGGACGACCTTACACCCTACTGCGAGCTGGTGGTCTGTGATGGCCCTACGAGTCAAATGTGCGTGGATGCATTGATGGGCTGGACGAAGCGATTTGGGATGCCACGAGTCTGGGTCAGTGACCAAGGCACCTACTTCAAGAACGTGGCGATGAAGGCGTTGGCGCACAAGTTGAGGTGCACCACGACCTCACACTGGCCTACAGCCCATGGCGGAACCGCACAGTGGAACGCATGAATCGCGACAACCTCCAAGTCATATGAGTGATGTTACGGACTACCAGTTGGATGAGAAGGAATGGGACTACCTCCTACCGGTGGTGCAGTCCAACCTCAACCAAACTCCGGCAGTGTCGCAGGCCAACAAGTCCCCCATGGAGCTCTTCACTGCATTCCACCCAGAGACCCCTTTGGACGTCGTTGTGGTGGGCGTGAACAAGGTTCTCTGCGAAGACAAGTGGTAACACAAGGACATTCAGAAGAACCTTGACGAACCACGAACAAGTTTGCAAGCGATGCAAAAAGAAGTGCTGAACCACAACGAGCAACGGACGAGTAAGGCGGCAAGAAACACAGAAGCTTCGATGCCTGCAAGGTGACCGAAGGTTACTACGTGCTATGGTCAAGGGTGGATCAGCGCTACCAACCCAAGCCAATCATCACCTAGGTCGGTCCGTACCGTGTCAAGTCAGTGGGCCAGTTCTCCGTGATATTAGAACTTCTGGTGACACATGAAGAACGCGAAGCTCACACGTCACGCGTGAAGATGTATGCGGAAGTGAGCTTTGAAGTCACAGAAGAAATCCTCGAACATGCCTCCGAGCAAGGCATAATCACGGGACACAAGTTTGCCCCGGATGTGAATGACTTCATGTTGGTAGTGTTTGGGAAACTTTGATGACATTTGAATCATCATGCGAGCCGCTGAAGATGATAATGCGAGAATGACCAGCCGTGGTCAAAGTGTAAGAGGAGACCAAGAAGAATGCCAAAGACCACGAGGCACTGGTCAAGACGATGAACCGCGCATGAAGTGCGGCGCAGTAGTGAAGCGAAGACCTATAAGTTATGACGATGATATGACTTGGGGGGGGTGTTGTGGTCGGATGCTGTCAGCCAGGCTCCGCCATGACACACATGGACCCTTGGTTGGGTCCCATGGCGCTAATCCTGTGAATCGATGCACTCTAGTAGTACTACTAGTGTATTAGGAGTTAGATGAAGTGTCGGTTTGGAGTGATCATCATGGTCAGCCAATCAGGGGCCACCTGGAACCATCTACCACTTCTACAGAAGCTCACTCCTGGTTTTCCTCTGCAACGGACATAACAATCAAGTGCGTGGTTCACGGGATGCGGTGCTCCCCTATTTGGTTGTTTGTGTTGGCGTAGTGCGGGAAACAACATAGCTCACCTTCACATTATGCATGCAACACTACCCCAATTGGGATGATTCTTTAACTAGTAACCTCTCCTAACATGGTGCTACGAGAACTTTCCTACCGATGCGATGGTTATGACATGGCAGCCTCGCAGATGAGCGCTCCGACAACCACCATTACATTACAAACCACTCAATAAACACTACGCAGGCAATACTACATCATTCAAATGAGTCTTCCGTTAGTACCTTCATTTATGCCAGTACTTTACGAATATACTACTCTTGAAGGCGGAGATCCTGCCAGACCCTCATGCACGTGTTTGTTTTTTGGCATCTATGATAGCTATGATGCTGTATCTGGTGCGCTTGCAATCTCTCATTACCATTGTGTCTCAAACGATATCACTCGGCACAACAAAAATGCAAAAAGTGTATTGTACATGCTGGATTTGAACCCACGCGTTTCTACCTACCTACTATGTACTGTATAGTCACATCCCTAGACCGCTTGACCTATTGTGATGCTTACAATCCATTGCTTTTGCCTGGATTTCATTTGATGAGCATGCTCTGCTAGTGCACCGCGTCATTTTCTATAATGGAACTATTACAAGCAGCTATCACGTTATGACCACAAGTTCTTTCATATAAGTAGTGTCTTTCATTCAGCGAATCTTGTTTAAACAACCAATGTCCTCGGAAATACATTTAAATATATTGAAAATAACTCTATGTCATACAAGTACTGCACCGGTAGCTTAGTCGTTAGTTAGGATGTCAGAATCGTAACGCAAAGGTGCATGGGTCAACTCCAGTGGAGACACAAACTTTTTTCTGTGATCGACTTATATTCCTCTGCATAATTCCAATTATATCAATCCCAAGTAATTCGTCCAGGTGTTATTGAATCCGGAGAGCAGTGCCAGTGAAAAAATACTAGAAATTTTTAGGACTTAAAGTGGGAGAAATGGGCAAATCAGGACGCCTCAAAGCGGGGAGCAAGCGTAACCCTGGGATATTCTCCTAACGGAAGACTTTCGCCCAAGATCACACATCCCTTGAGAGTTGTCGAGATTTTCTAACTGTTACATGAATTCACCTGAAGCTACTTCAAAACGTCTTGTGGTTGCCGTTACCTACGATTGCTGTACAAGCTTAGAAATCCAAAGTTGCAATAGTAGTGTCAGGGTGTTATTATCGATACATACAGTAACGTTAGTAAAATATGAGGGTGAAGCTAACGTTGCTGTAGTTTCTACATTTTTGCGAAATGGTGGCAACCACGAAATGGAAACTACTACGTTACCTTGCGTTTGCTCCATATAATGTACTGTCATCTCGCCCCAATTGCCTTATATGGTACCAGGATACGCATGAAGCCCACCAACGTTGCATGAAGTAGACGTCCACTCTATGCAAAGCCACTAAACCAACTCAAACAAGGGCAAGAGTATCAAGTCAGCTCAGATTTGTCAAGAATTTACGCGTAAATCGGTGCGTGCACGACAGGGCTTGAACTGATAAGTAATCAACTTAGATTACAGTACCCACTGATCAATCTTGTCCAATGAAATGCTCAGCTCGTTTAGCCTTCTTGGATATTTGAGCCAGCAAATCTCGAAAACTCTGAAAGGATGTATATTGGCCGAAAGTATTTCGGGGTTCCATCCATCATTATAGACATACCAAAGATGGACAACTTTGGACGATAAACTTCAATTTACGTACGGTGGTGGGGAGTATCATTACCAACCCACTACCGTACCTTTCGATTCAATGTTGGAGTGGTACTCGGCTGTGACCACTCTGTTTCTAGTCTATTCAAAATCAATATTTCTATGTGATGTTGGAGGAATATAATGTTATGGGAGTTCTTCGTGGCAATCAAACTCAAATTGAAATCATACAAGTACATTTCTAGGGCTTGCGATGGGACGGTCATGGCATAATGGAAAGTGAATGGAGGTGTCAATGTCAGTTTACAAGCTCAAGTTTGCATGCTAAAATCTGCAGGAAGTCGCTTCAAGTTTGCTCGTCAGTTATCGTATTGTAGAGAGGCATTACTTCTGAAAGGATATTTATGTCTAGAGGCAATGAATATCAAATTTTCCAGTGGTAGTACTCCTGGCTGTACCACTCCAACATTGAATCGAAAGGTACGGTAGTGAAGCTAGCACCTTGTTAACTACAGGAATAGCTTTATGTAAACACATGGGGTCCTGTTTTGTCTCCCGCTTCTTCTCGGCTTTTGGCTTCGGAACCTTCGACAAGGTACCAAATATAACACCGACATTAGTGAGGTTAAACACACCACGAGGCGGCGCCTACTGACTACCATTCATTAAAGTACTCAGTACCTTGCAATAAAGTACTCAGTACCTCCACTAAGGTATCGGAACCTTTGCCACGGCACACACAGAGAGTGTGTGTGTTTTGCAATGGGTCAAACTAACGCACGTCCCAATTGCTCTGCACGCTGCAGAACAGGTCCGGGTTCCAAGGTTACAGAGTATTGGTTCTTTTTATGGAAGATGACTACCTAAGCAGCAGTGGAGCTGTTGCTCTGAGAGCATTGCTTGTTTAATTGCGTCGACCTCTTCAATGGGGGATGATATGACGGTACAGTAGTGCTTCATGCAATGTACGTACAATAAGATGAGTGCAACGTTAACCAAAATAAAACTAGTTGCCGCACCAAAACGCTCCCAAGCTCGCGAACGTCGCACAGGTCGACTTGGAGTACGCAGGGGGGAAGCAGTGGTTTAGGATAGGGTAGAAGCACGTAGAGCAGCCATTGCACTTGGACGGCGAGACAGTCGTAGGGGCGACTGTGGGGGCCACCGTAGGTACTTTGTCAGTGGTGATAGGAGCCACGGTAGGGCTCGTGGTAATCGGGGCCGCAGGAGGGGTCTTGCTGGTAACAGGGGAGGCCGTGGGGGCAGCAGAAGGCTTGGTGGTGATAGGGACAGCGGTGGGGGACGTGGTGATGAAGGGTTCAATGAAGTCGCGGGCGATGGAGATGCGGCTATAAACCGCAGGCTTGTCCTTCTGGGCACATTTGAGGCCCCAGCTGATCACACCCACCAACTTGACAGACCCGTTCGATTCGACCGTCAATGGTCCACCAGAGTCGCCTTGGCACGAATCTTCGCCCAACTCGCCACCCGCACACAGCATGGCTTCGCTCACGGTGTATCCGGTCAACAGCTTTGCGCATTGGTCGTTGCTGATGGTATCAACACCGACTTCCATTAGAAATAGGGAAGAAGGTCCGCCAGAAGACTTACGACCCCACCCGCGCAAAATCGTAGGGGTGCCAGGCGCCACTGTGTCGAACGAGACCTGGACCGGAGGGAATTTGGACGGTTCTTCCAAGATCAAGATGGCAAAGTCATAGCTGTTGGTCACGTTGTTGTGCTTAGGGTGTTTGATGAATTGCTTGACTTTGATGCGTTCGCCATCGCTGATGCCGGACCTGAAATGTGACCCGATCGACACAAACTTGCGGTCATTTCTGGTGCAGTGGGCGGCGGTCAAGACGACGTTGGGGGCGATCAAACTGGAGCCGCACAGAGAAGTCCCCGACTTGGTTCTGCGAAGTCCGCATACGTACAAGTGCTGGCCAACTGCAGCTTCGACGCCGCCAACAATTCTTTGTTGGGCGACCAAGGCCGTGGAGGTAGCGAAGAGAGCAGACAAGGCAAACAGAACGTTCATGCCAAGTGGCAAAGTCAAAAGTGAAATCTGAACCAAAGGCCCGCAAGCGAGCTCAGTAAATCATGGGACGATATTGATCAGTGGGTATATATCCTTCCAAGCCCTGTCGCAGACGCACCAATTTACGCGTAAATTCTTGACCAATCTGAGCTGACTTGATACTCTTGCCCTTGTTGGGGTTGGTTCAATGGCTTTGCATAGATTGGACGTCTACTTTATGTAACGTTTGTGAGCTACATGCGTATTCTGATACCATATACTAGTATTATAAGGCAATTGGGGCGAGATGGCTGTACATTCTATGGAACGTAGTAGTTTCCATTTCGTGGTTGCCACCATTTCGCAAAAATGTAGAAACTACAGCAACGTTAGCGTCACTCTCATACCGATGTCACAGTTACATTTTACTAACGTTACTGTATGTATCGACGACACCCTGACACGACTACAGTTATTCTTCACTTCTTCCGCGTATGCGCTTGCGTTACAAGCTCAGAAATCCAAACTTGCCACACAACCACAAGACGTTTTGAAGTAGGTGTGGTTCAGGCGTTTATCAACAGAGCCAGCGAGCCCAAAGGTGAAGATGACTGGATTTATGGTGGCTTGCTCATGATTGCCTACGACATTGCGAGCAAGGTGGCTGACAAGGAAGCCAAGAAAAAGGAAAAGGAAGAAATCCTCGTGCAGAAGAAGAAAGCCACTGCACAGAAGAGAGTCATTGCAGCGAAAACTTCGAAGTTTCATGGCTGACTTGAAACTTCGAAGTATCAAGTTAACTCATCAAACTTCGAACTGGCCCTGATCTCGCCCCAAATTGCCCTAGTTGAGGTTAGTTAAATGGCCTTGCATAGATTGGACGTCTACTTCATATAACGTTGGTGGGCTTCATGCGTTTCCTGGTACCATATACTGGTATTATAAGGCAATGGGGGTGAGATGGCAGTACATTATATGGAGTAGACGCAAGGTAACGTAGTGGTTTCCATTCGTGGTTGCCACCATTTCGCAAATATGTGAAAACTACAGCAACGTTTGCTTCACTCTCATACCTGTGCCACAGTGACATTTTACTAACATTACTTCATCGATACATACTACTTTATGTATCGATGACAACCTGACAAGACTATTGCGCGGGTGGGGTCGTACGTCTTCGGGTGGAGCTTCTTCCGAACGCCTGGAAGTCGGCGTGGATTCCATCAGCAACGACAAATGCGCAAAGCTGATGACTGGGAGCACCGTTAACGAAGCCATGCTGTGTGCGAGCGGCAAGTTGGGCGAAGATTTGTGCAAAGGCGACTCTGGCGGACCACTAACGGTGCAATTGAACGGGCCTGTCAAGGTGGTGGGTGTGGTCAGGGGGGGCGACGGATGTGCCAAGCAGGAAAGGCTGGCTTGAACAGCCGCATCTCGATCGCCCGCGACTTCTTTGAACCCTTCATCACCACGTCCCCCACCGCTAGTCCTATCACCACCAAACCGACTGTCGCCCCAGTCACCCAGTCCAAAGTGCCTAAGGTGGCCCCCATCACGTTCTTCCAAGGGCCCCACTGTCGCCCCTACGACTGCCTCGCCGTCCAAGTGCAGTGGCTGCTCTACATGCTTCTAACCTACGCTGAACCACTCCTTCCCCCCTGCGTACTCCAAGTCTACATGTGATGCTTGAGAGCGTTCTGGTGAGGCAACTATACGTAAGAGCCCAGTTCCGTGCCACATTTATCGGTCCCTCGTTGGAGGACTTCCCTAAGGCCGATTTGCAATTATATACCGTTTTGTAAAGAGGAGATGTGATCGTGTGATTTGGTGTTGATCGGTTTAACTCTAATTCAAAAGCTATTCGGGTGTGAAAATTAGAACTCTCGATTGGCTGATATCAAATCCGTGCCACTATATCCGAATTTTATTCATGTTTTGCACAGCTTTTATTGGAATATCCGGACAAGTACACAACAAAAATTTCAATACCATGGGGTGCGCGTGGCCTCTTGCGACGAACGGGCTTGCTTGAATCTTCCAACGAGATCAACTTGCGCTCTGACGCCTCACGACGTCGTTCATCCAACGCCTTCTTCGTTTTCGCTGCAATGACTCTCTTCTGTGCAGTGGCTTTCTTCTTCTGCACGAGGATTTCTTCCTTTTCCTTCTTGGCTTCCTTGTCAGCCACCTTGCTCGTAATGTTGTAGGCAATCATGAGCAAGCCACCATGAATCCAGTCATCTTCACTTAGGCCCGATTTGCCTTACGAACCACTCGAAGTACTGAATGAACAGCGTCGTCGACAGGAAGGATGACTTGTTGGCGCAAAATTGGAGGCAGGCAAGCCACCATGGGCCATACACTTCAAGACTCGTCGAGATTCCAAATGCAGTCGGGGTCGAAGTGGTTGTCGGTATGCACCTTGGAGAGTGAGCTTTATGGACGTCGACCGTGCTCCGACCCGCTCGCACTGCCTCCATGGCCTGAACGCTGCGCGAGGAGAAGTGTCGCTTGATGAACTTCTTGACAAAGGTTATCGAGGGGAACGTGTCCGGCACCGTTCGTTCGTGGTGGCTGTTCTCGATGCACACGCGAACGATGTTAGTCAGTTCGTTGTGTGTGAAGCACTGAGTATGCATCGTCCGCTCGTTGACTGCCTCGACAATTCCCATCTCTTCCCCAGAGGTCAAGACGGGAGCAAGTTCATTCCGCGACAGAGGAGCGACTAGGCCCAGTAGTCGCCGTTGCAGCATCATGCGGCCCATACTGAACTGCAGCGACGATTAGAAAATGAAGTGCTTGGCACACATGTGAAATTGTTGTTTCCCGGGACAACTTTGTATTTGCGCGGGAACGCAGAAGTCATTTATTTATTAGTTGTTAGAGTGGTGTATGATATTGCAGAGGTCATATGTTAGTGTACGATTAGTTTAAAATTCACCAATGACGTTTGTGGCACGGAACTATGCCTATACGTATAGTTTTATTAAGGTTACAGAAGAACAGTTTTATGTGAATATGCTTGACTGCTAGTGTAATCGCGTCAACCTTCAATTGGGATGACATAAAAGTACAGCGGTGTTTCATACAACGTGGGTTGGTATTGTATGTTTATTCTAAACTGGAGCGACATAGAGAATGAACTGATAAAACGGCAGAATAGCCAATCCGATTGCAGGAAACCATTACCAACATCGAATTAGTGTGTGACACAAATTAGAGTAGAGAGATTGCAATCACCACAAGGCAACTTTTTACGTACAAACTTCAGGACATAGAATCGATCGATGGATTTCACGGATCAGAATAAAAGTCCAAATTTTGGGTAATAGGACAATAATGATACCCCCCACCACCGTACGTGAATTGAAGTTTATCTTCCAAATTTGTCCATCTTTGGGATGCCCATAGTCATGGGTAGAACCCTATACTCCTACCTAAAGACTTTCTCCCAAGACCATAGACAGTATTCGACATTTGCTCACAGGTACATGAAACAATAATTCACCTGAAGTGACTTCAAAACATCTTTGGTTGCCGCTACCGACTTGTCCACTTCTTCCCCGTGAATGCGATTGCTGTACACGCTTAGAAATCCAAAGTTGCAATAGTCGTGTCAGGGTGTCGTCGATAGATACGGTAACGTTAGTTATATAGTTACTATGGCAGCGGCATCAAAGTGGAGTTAACGTTACTGTAGCTTCAACATTCGTGCAAGGGAAAGCGGAGCCTGAGGCGTCGGATGGGTAATAACAGGCGACGGGTTGACGGTAGGTTTGTTCGAACGACGGGCTTTCCAATCACTCGCGACTACGTAGAGTCGGGCGGAACGGTTATGGTGACCCAAGGATTGCACTAGCGCTGGGTGTGCTGGTTGAAGGCGATTTGCGGGAGGGTGTTGTCGCGTTTTTCGTGAGTCTTCGGCGAACTCTTCAGACAGCTTGGACTGGGGTACTTCCGAGCAATGCCGTACACTGAAGGTATGGTAATCAAGGCAAAACGAGAAGTATATTCATAGAATTTATCTACTTTCGAATTCTTCATACTCAACGCCGTGACTACCACTCCTGGTTGCCTCCTGTTTCAAGCCTTGAGCACCAGCCATCTTCTGGTGTCGTGTTCATTGGACGTGGGGTTGCTTTCACGTTCCACATCTTTATCTTATTGGTTTAGAACGAGGATGTCACCTTGACTGGATCTGGCCTACATATGGTAGGACCTCTCGTGCCATGTATTCGGTCGTTGGGCGTCATGCATTTATCGGCCGAGCCTCTGTTTTACTCCCCATGCCTGAGTGTGGGTAGCTGAATGTTGGTACGAAACAGGACGCCATTTGAGAAGTGTGAAATATGACCTGGATCGGGAGGGGCATATGTCCCGAGGGATGGTACACTGTACCGATGCATGACTTGTAGAGAGTAGTGAAGTGAAAGGAGGGAACTGACTGATTGCCTGGGTAATGAAGTTACTTTTGGATATGTCGTCGAGGTCACCGTTGCGAATACGGTAGCCGTCGGGTGTGAACAAGACAACAAAGAATTCTTTAGCTATCTTACAAACACGCGGCTCAAGACTACAAGGAATTATTGAGCTGTCTTACAAACACGCTAGCGACTAAACGCATAGAGTTTCCTGGAACAGGAAACGAACATGCTTTGGATGTGGAGCTACCCGGTAGCGACCAGGAGGGCTCTGTCGGAGCTCGATCCCGGTCGGATCGCTCGACGAGTTCTGTGGCCCGTGCACCGTGCGTGGACCGTTTTGAAGATCATGGAAGGCACGGGACCAGTACGAATGCCCGGCAGCCTTTCCAGTCACCACGTGGAAGGCGACAAGCGGTGACAGTTGAAAAGACCTGGAGTTACGGAGACCGAGTACGTTTGCGGCTCCCGATAATTGCGGTATTTCTGAAAAGGCTCCCGGATCTGTACAGGAGAAGATACATGTGGGCCTGTGGATATTGAGAACAGAACGACCTGTACCTGCACAACACCACGGCCCTCCCGAAGAACCCGACGGTTAAGGGATCTAGCAAGGAAGAACGAAGCGATTGTATGGATGCGTACAACCTACAAATCAGCCAAACGAATGCCCTGACTGCCAACGGAGTCTGATCGTTCATCTTGTCGGTTAGGGCGTGTATCGAACCTGCGACGAAACAATGTATTGCCGAATGGGACATGGGAAAGGATCCGGATCACGTGTCCGAGGTCGAATGGATTGCGTGGTTCGAGCAAGGTTACGACGTCGATCATCGGGTCCAGGACACTCACGAGAAGCGGATTAAATCTGCGTCCTAGTAATACTACTAGTAATACTATGCCTTTTAGTGTCGGTTCGCCAAGGGTCGGCACCCGGTGGCCTCGGTTGAGGACCACCTGGGTCATGCGCGGGACTTGGATTAAGTCGCCCACCACAACACGCACCCCAACCCATGTCCCGAAGGACACACTTGGGCCTCGCTAATTCTTCGCCCTCACTTCCTTTATCGCCTTGTGCAACGCATCACCTTCGCTCGCTGTCTTCACGCCTTCAACGTAGATCTTCACCACGGCCGAGCATTCATGCTTGAGCTTCTGCAGCGGTTCCCATGAGGACTCGATATCTTCGAAACCTTCCTAAAGCAGTTCCAGCATGAAGTTTTTCACATCCGGGGCAAACTTGTGTCCCGTGATGGCCTTGACCTTCAGCATGATCCCTTGCGCGGAAACGTGTTCGAGGATCTCTTCAGTCATAGCAAAGCTGTCTTCGGCGTAGAGCTTGACTCTTGATGCGTGTGCTTCTCGTAGTTCATGGGTAACCAAGTGCTCCAAAATGACGGAAAATTCGCCCACTTCTGTGACTCGTTAGGGGCCCGTCCAGGTTACAAAAAGTTTGGGGTGATAGCGTTCGTCGACGTGGGACCAGAGCACATAGTCGCCTTCGCTGACATTGCACTGTTCGTATTTCTCTGTCGCTTTCCGCAGCCGGCGGTCACGGCCTCAACCACCTTCGCATCCAACACCACCTTGACTTTGGCGGTCTCGGCGGCAGCATCGACGACAACCATGTCGGGGAAACATGAGTCCATCTCCTCGGCCAGGTCATCCACGAGCTCGTAGGACACGGCCAGCACGGCCTGTACGACCCCAGTGTGCGAGATCGCATCGGTGAAGGACGCGGCCTCACGCAGCATGGCGCATGGGTCGAACCCCAACTTATACATGATTGCGCGGCTCAATAGGATGTCGCCGACGTTGGCGGGCAGGTTGCCGGTTGACACCCAGCACTTGACATTCGTGAGCATCAGCGGGCCGGCGTCCGTCTCGAACAGCAGGTCCATCGTGGCTTCCTCGATGGCGGTGTGGGCAAGGCCAACAAAAACCTTGACCTTAATGAGGGTATTGAGCTAGGTCACGAGGACGTTGCGGCCTTGCTTTTTGAGTTTGACCAACGTGGAGGGGGGCACCACACTTTGATCGGCGCCGCTGTCGAAGGACGCGTCCAGCGAGACGGCCTGACCAGCCACACACACAACGCGGGCAGCGCACATCACGGCATTGTCCAGGGAAACCTCGGCAACGTCGACCGTCTCGACGACGGTTACCGACTTGGTTTATTTCCAGATGGAACGGGCACGTTCCATCAAGAGCTTGGCTTCGCCGTCAGCGACCTTAGGGCACTTGAACACATTGTGCTCGGTGCTCAGGCAGCACTTGAAACACGCACGCTTCTCTTGGGTGAAGTTCGACTTCGGGATCTTGTCGACGTTCACAACGGACACGATCTTGGGGGCCTTCCCAGCCTTGGGGGTCTTGGTCACCGCCGCGGCCATCAGCGGCTCGAACTCGCCGTAGCGATACATGTAGTCCGCCAGCCAGCGCTTGAAATCGCGAGCGTCCTTCTTGAGGCTGCGGTTATTGTTCAACTTCATGAGTTCCTTGACACAGGCGCGCACGGCCGGTGGCTGGACGGCCGCGACGAGATAGTCTACAGTTAGTTTTGGCTCGCCTCCGCAAACCCCTCCATTGAGAGGCGCACGAGTACCGCCTCGAAATCCGAGACCAATTTCGACACCCGGGACTCGGCCGACTGCACGGTCGTATCCATCTTGAGCTTGGCCATCGAGGCGTCCAACTTGGACATGTCCACAGGATCGCAGTCCTTGGCACCAAGGAAGAAAACCTTCCAGTCCTCCTCCGTCAGCTCGTGGCTGGCCCTCTCGATCTCCCAGTAAGCGATGCGCTCGACCGATAACGGGTCGGTGCATGCGCTCAGCGGCGCGGGCTGGATCTGGGCACCACCGGGGCGCTGGGCGTTCGCGATGTTGACTTCACGGGCGTATGCCTCGTACTGGTCCATGAACTTGCGCATCTGCACCTTGGTGTTGCCGTTGAACGACGGGGCCTTGGGTACCTTTTGGAACCCATAGACGACTTGGACGCCCGCGACAGCGGGGGCAGTCGTGGGCACTGCAACAGCCGGCACCGAGG